GGTCATGAGTGATCAGAAATCCTCGAGTAAGAACATCTGATATCTCTCTATCTCATCTCCTTCACTCTTCTAGTGGATTGATGTCACGAACGACGCTGTCCCATAAATATTGACGATGCCTCTTTTTTGACTGATGAAGAACCCACCAGAAGTCTTCACAAAGGTATCGTTCTTAGTTGCTTTAAATTTTATCACATTCTGATTAATTAGGGCTATACTTCAACCCAAACCGATTGTTAGTATAGTTAAATTAGGTGTTTTTATCGTTCTCTCTATTGCAAGAACTATATTTTTTCTAAGACTACTTTGTGATTCATGTTCAATATTGTATCATAATACCTAATGTGAATTGGTTGTCTAATGTGATTGATGTACTGTAAATCAATGAAGTTTAATCCATAGGTTTAGATGAGTTTTTTGGGTTTGATTGGTTGAACACAAATCATGGTTGTTTTGGTTGCTTATTTGACAGATGAATGTTTCAACTGAATTGAAAGTTGTTTTCATGCACACCAAGTGCTCGCTAAAATGCTTCAACTGAATGGTATTTCTTCGTTTATAGTATTCTATCAGAAAAGAATGTTTTTTATGGTAATCATGAACATATTCTGTTAAAATCCCCCGAATTAATATAATTATTGGTAAATGAATTCCAGTTCTATCAGAATGGAATCACGAATTCCAATTATGTTGGAATGGAGTATGAATATTTTCTCACTAATTTATTCATTGTATTTTCTACAGAAGCTGATGCTTGAAGAACGGACCACGAAATTTGAACGACGCCTCTTAGCAACATTATTCTTTTAGAATGTATTAGTGTTTTTGTTAGATTTTGATGTTTTTTTTTCCAGATTTGAAATTTTTTTTAGTTTTATTCTTTAAAAATAAATGTAATTCTTAGCAATTGTTACATGTATTCTATAAGAATTAATGTAATTTTTGTTTTAATTCTTCAATTGATGGTTAGAGAATTTTGTTATTCTACAAGAAATTTTGTTATTTTTGAACATACTCAAACATATTTTGTCAGAATGTCCGAACTAAAAACCTTATAATTTGTAAGATCGGAATTTTAAAATTAATAGAATCTTTGATCCCTTAAAATATGCAAATTTCCTTTATTAAATCTATGTTAACTGACTAAAATACCCTTCTAGTTAAATTAGATGGTATTTTTCAATTATATTTAATTAAATAATATGTATTAATCACTTTCTTAAAATAAGTAAAATGATTGGCTCACATTTATGCATACAATAACACAATAATTACTTTGAATAGAATGACCTAAGTCTATATTATATATATATATATATATAATATATATATATATATAATATAATATATATATATATATATATATAATATATATATATCCTAGCCGTTTACACCCGCGCCAAGCGACGGGTGCGAATAGTTTTTTTCATAAATTACTTCTTTAGGCGATTAGTTTTTTTTTTGTACAGATAGTTTAATACATCTAAACAATTAACAATAAGAATTAGGATATCAGAAACGAAATCAATAAGAATTAAATATAAAAATTGTGATTCTTTACAAATATACGTGAACACACAAATGTATTGTCAAATATCATTGAGCATTAGTTTTAATTCAATAATTCGTTTTCTTTTCGACGATTAATGTATTTTTTAACTTATTCGTTGTTTTTTTATATGTTAGAGATATGTTTTTATATGTTGGATTCATTTTGTCGCAAATAGAGCGTTTATATATCAAAATAATATATTTGAAAAATAAAATCTCCGTTGATGTAAATTAAAAAAAAAAAAAACATTTGGCAAATAATGTTTTCCCGGATGATTACCCAAATAATTTATGTTTTATTATACATTAGTAGTTATTAAGATATATCTTATATAGGGTCAAATTCTTAAAATAAAATCAAAATAATGAGGTAAATCTTTTTTATATTTTTTATATTAATGATTATTAGGAAATATTTGATATATAGCATATATTATTATTAATCATGATATTTATATATTTAAAACATAAAGGCTAATCAATTACTTCCGATGTTTTATGGTTCAATTAGGTGATCAACAATCTAGTCTTAAATAAAAAAAATGTTTTATACGGTCAAATATTATATGAGACACAAATCTTCCATTGTAATAAGAAAAAAAAACACTTCATTAAATATGCTTCGTTTTTTAGTTTATGGATGCTTATTTTATTCTCCATCTTTTACCGACATTCTTGCATGATGAATAACAGTTGGTCCAGTATACATTATACTTTTTCACTCAACATAGTTCTTTCCTTATTGAATTTATAATAAAAAAAGACGACATTACACTTCAATTCTATTACTTTGACTAATTCGAACAACGAAACCAACCTAAAACTATAAAACCTTGAACAGACTTATAACTTGCAACATAAACCAAAAAGAGACCAATTTGCCTTGTATTCATATTTCTACACCAGAACATACAAGCACCCTTAATAGACCATTCATTTCTTCTTTTTTTACCTATCTTTTTTTTGCAACGAAATCACTCCAAGGCATAAGAACATGAGTAATTAACTTTCCATTTTTTATACTAACCAAAAAAGGCCCATTATGCCCTTTTCTAAAAATTATGCACCTGATCAACATACAACTGTATGTACAACTGTTTTTAACCGGATCTGATAAAAACAGATCATGATATATATATATATATATATATATATATATATATATATATATATATATATATAAGAGATATTAGAAGAGAAAATACGAACAGTAAAAATTTGGAGCCAATTTGTAACTTGTTATCAAATGCTTCACTTCTTGACAAAACTCTTTGGATGTGAGTAATTATTTCCATAACCACCCTTTCAAATGACTGAAAATAAATTTACAGCTCCTCAATAACTTCCTGTCATCATAAGAAGAGATAAATCAAAACAATGCTCAGAGTAAACAATGTGATTGCAATAACAATCATAAGGAAATAAATTTACAACTGATTTAATTATACAAAAATCACATCAGGAAAATAAAAGTACAAACTCTCCATTGTTAGGTCCTTTTTTATGTGAAATTTTGAGATTGCAAAATCAACATTTCTCTCATTCATCCATCTTCTACTTCATACATTAATCTTCACACAAAGAAATGATTTTTCTATAACAATAACATTCAACTCAAACAAATTTATCATAATCAAGTAAAACATAAGGTGTTGAACCTAGCTGACTGACCATATTCAAAACTTACAAAGACTTGCAAAATGAAACTTATGTGATTTCTCCATCTACTGAAGTATATCTACTAAAGTATGGTAGTAATAGATGAAAATAATGGTTGTTACCATAAGCCAATAAATCCAGTGTGGGATTTTAATCAGTGTTGTAGTCCCCTATAACATATCTGCATAAAAAAAACATTAAAAAAAGGGGCTTATATTCTATATGGACAATCAAGTATTGATTGGGAATTCTTATCAAACACATGGTGTGCATGATGTGCCTCATGACTTCAACTTTTAACACTAAAAACATCCATAGCCTGCAGCTTGTAGATCTACTACCCCTCTTCCCATGTAGATATATAAATAAGACATTAATATTCAAGCTAAACCATGTAACAGGGAATGCAAACCTTACATTAAAAGGCTTGCCAAAATTAGTGAAAACTGGAAAAAAAACATATTAACATAGAATTGAAACATTACATCAACGATCCATCAGGCTCAAAATTTCTTCTCGTCACTACAACATAGACCTTTTTGCAGCCCCTATATCGTTGCCATAGTTTGGCAAACAATAACAAACATTACCTTCACTTTTTTTTCTCCCGAACCTATTAAAATCACAAATTATTTAAAAAATTGAACAAATTAACATAACCTTCATATTTTTGCTACTGACCTTCATTCTAAATGTGCCCAGTGATACCTGTTGCTAGAGAGAAACTTTGTTTCACTCCACATCTAAACCAAAAACTGTACATTAAAACACAAAAACACACAGCTTAGCAAACGCATACACCAAAACTAAATAACTACATAAAACTTCAAACCGATCATAAGGTCTTGAAATAACTTATAAAGAAAACAGAAAAATGTTAATATCAAACAAACCTGCAAAAACAATTCAAACACGGATGTAAAAAGTCACAAAAAAATAAAAAAAAATTGAACAAACCTGCAAAAAAAACCATGCCCTGTCCATTCTACTTCATTAGACATAAAAATAAAAGAAAAAGAGGGAGGTTTAGGGCTTGAAATCGAATCAAGAGGGAGGTTTAGGGTTTGAAATCTCAGATTACCTAGAATGTAGAGTTGAAGCCTTTTAAGATTGACAAATGAGTGATGACAGTTCAGATTTGGTGTGAAGACTGTAAATGCAGAGATTGGGTAGTGTAGTTCTGAACGGCGCATCTCATATTTGACCAATTAAAAGCATGCGATCAGTGGGAGGTTGTTGGGCGGGATAGGTTGGTGGTGAAGGTAGCCGGAGTGGGAAAGCATCAGTGCAATGGTGACATGGTTTTGGTTTTCTTAATAAAGAGAGAGAGAGAGAGATGGTGGGTTTTCTACGATGGTGGTGGCGGTGGAGCAATGACGGATCTGAGGTCCTGATTGTTGGTGTTTGTTGGTGGTTCAGAGAGAGGCGACGAATGGGTCTTGAACTTGTTCGTGGGAGGTAGATTACAAGTTGAGACGGCGGTGCGTGGTGTAAAGGGTGCCGGTTAGGGAAGTGAGAAGGAGGAGAGTAGTGGTGGTGGTTTCCTTGATTAGGGCTGTTGTAGAGGAGATTAGGGCAAGAGATAAAGGTAATACCGTGTAATAAGTATAAGATGTGATTATAAGCTTAATACTATTGTACATGATGTATGTATTGTACCTTTTAATTTTCAAGAAACATACAATATGTTTAATAATATAGTATATATATATATATATATATATATATATATATATATCTATATATATATATATATATAGAGAGAGAGAGAGAGAGAGAGAGACCTATATCTTAAGAATCATTATATAGACCAACTTAGTACTTTCTAAGATATCTTTCTCAATGGCTTCGATGTGCTTTTTTTATAATTCAATTCTCCGTTACAACTACAATCATAGAAAAACTAGATCTTTTCACATTTGTAAACACTTATGTTCATTACAATCGACATCAACAGTCGTCATTGCAGCTGAGTCCTTTGTTAGACGATCTGCAAATTATAAGTCATCACTATGGTCCTTTGATCAAGTTCAATCGCTCTCTAGCAAATACATAGTAAGATTCCCATTTTCTTTTATATTATGGTTGGTAGTATGTCACATTCAAGAATTTAACCTATACAGGGAGAAGAGTACACGGCAACAACACGTACTTTAAAGGAAGTTGTGAAAACGTTAATATACAATGTGGGAAATCCATTAGGCACTCTGGAGCTGGTTGATGAGTTGCAGAGACTCGGGATATCATATCATTTTGAGGATGAAATAAGTGAAGTGTTGGAGATGATTTACTACAATTACTACAAAACTCACAACAAGTGGAATAGCATGGATTTGAACGTTAAAGCACTTGGCTTTCGACTACTAAGACAACATGGTTATCAGGTTCCCCAAGGTAAATTTAATAAAGGATCCATATTCGTAGAGAATTGAATGATTCATATTCGTAAAGATTTGAAAGATTTCATTTGTGATCCCGATGCATGAGGTTTAGTTTATATTAAAACAAACATTAAATGTTTTTTTTCTTGATTTTCTTTTATATTTAGAGATATTTCTCAACTTTAAGGACAAGACTCAAAATCTAAACCCACAATTACTTGAGGATATGGTGGCAACGCTGAACTTGTACGAGGCTTCTTATCATTCATTCGAGGATGAAAGCATATTGGACGATGTTAGAGACTTCACAACCAAATATCTCCAAGAAAATTTAGAGAAACTTGATGGAAATATATCATCGTTAGTAACACATGCGTTGGAGCTTCCGTTGCATTGGAGAGTACCAAGGGTAGAGGCGAAATGGTTTATGGAAGTATATGAGAAAAGAAGCGGCATAAATCCCACATTGATAGAGCTTGCAAAACTGGATTTTAACATGGTCCAGGCTATCCACATCGAGGATTTAAAACACTCCTCAAGGTATCATATGGGTATATATAAATTATATTATCTTGACTTGTTAATTGTTATACACTACAAAATAAAGTATCATGATATATAGCTATTGTATACCCCATGAATATAAGGTGGTGGAGAAATATAAGTTGGGATAAGAAGTTGAGCTTTACTCGAGATCGGTTGGTGGAGAATTTTTTGTGGACTGTTGGTGTTAGTTACCTACCTCGCCTTAGCAATGGAAGGAGAACGTTAACTAAGGTTAATGCCATAATTACTACTATCGATGATGTCTATGATGTATTTGGTACTTTGGATGAACTTGAACAATTTACCGATGTTATCAGCAGGTAAATGCTACTATATATATGTAGACTCTTACGATACTTCAGTTACATGCTTAATTAGTTGTTTATTAACTACTATATATTTGCACAAATTTAATGAGAACTAAAGAAATTTTCTTTCATAGATGGGACCTCCATGGGATAGGAGAACTTCCAGATTATATGAAGATATGTTTCCTTGGATTCTATAACTCGATAAATGAGATTGCATATAACACCTTGACAAACACAGGATTCTTAATCCTTAAACACCTAAAGAAAGCAGTAAGTAATCCTTCTTCTTCGTAACAATATTATGTTGAGTTAATTACTAAGGGCATAACACCATGAATACCTTTTCAAATTATATTACGACATTGATCACCGATTATGTGTATAAAAGAGTCGTAAATTTACAAGATTATATTTTAGTGATCTCGGACATCACATTTTATAATTAATATTTTAACTTTTTCCCGAATAGGATATTAATTATATCCAGAAAATCTCATTTTCACATACTAAAACATTAGAAGCTACAGATCATTTTCCTAACCAAAAATCTTACCAAAAATAGATTTTGTTTTCTTGAGATCACAAATATGACACGCTTCTTTTTATTGTTTTTTAACAAAAAAAATGATAAATGGGTTTGTTCTTCCGAAAAAGGAAAGATGACACCACCTTTATATTATTTTTTAAATTCAAAATAGCAATAAAGAATTAAAGATTCTTCGTTGGGAAATGAAGAGGACACCACCCTCCGTCAGACCGTCACCCACTCTTTATTTCCTTTATTTTTTAATTTTTTAATTTTTATATTTTTTTTATGACAATTAAATATATTTCTAACTTTTAAGACTAAACGGAATGGGGTGTTAAACCTACTTGCTATGCTCGCTAGCAAGCCATGAACACCACCCCCTAGCGCTCGCTAGGGGGTCGCTATGCCTTTTCTCATTATCATTTTGTCGAGATGAGAGAGTGTGTGGGTGAAATCTGATTGGTCCATAGGAGGTTGACCGGATTGCAATCCCATTTTACCTAGAAATTCCTCCTCTTTGATTTGATAAAAAAAATATTTTGGAGTGTTAAGAGTGTTACCACTCCCTATCAAATGCTAAGATTAGATGGTAAATGGAAAAAAATAAGATGACAATCAAAAAGCTAAAGTTATAAGGTTTTAGGAGTGTTACCACACCCTTAGCATAAAGAGTGATGACATATCATTGGGTTGTAAGCCTTTT